CTGATTGGCTGTGGGGCACTGGGTGTGGCCCGAGGCTGGCTCTGATTGGCTGTGGGGCACTGGGTGTGGCCCGAGGCTGGCTCTGATTGGCTGTGATGTTGCTCCGCCCCCAGGGGAGATTGACAGGTGCCTGAAGAAGGTCTCGGAGGGGGTGGAGCAGTTCGAGGACATCTGGCAGAAGGTCAGGGGGGAGCCCCCCAAAAATCCCCGAAATTCCCCCAAAAATCCTCAAAATCCTCCCCCAAAACCCACAAAAATCCCCTAAAAATTTCCACCAAAAATCCCTAAAATCCCACCAAAAATCCCTAAAATCCACCCAAAAATTCCCCCAAAATCCCCTCCAAAATCCCCCCAAAACTCCCAAAAATTCCCTCAAAAGTTCCCTCCAAAAATCCCTAAAATCCTCCCCCAAAATCCCCCAAAAATCCACCTAAATAACCCCCCAAAAATCCCCCAAAAATTCCCAACAAAAATCCCTAAAATCCTCCCTGAAAAATCCCCCCAAAATTCCCACCAGAATTCCCCAAATCTCTTCCAAGAATCCCCCAAAAATTCCCCAAAAAATCCCCCCAAAAACCCCAAATCTCCCCAAATATCAACCACAAAAAAATCCCCCAAAAATCCTCAAAATCCTCCCCCCAAAACGCCCAAAAATCCCCCAAAAATCCCCTCCAAAATCCCACAAAAATCCACCCAAAAAATCCCCCCAAAATCCCTAAAATCCTCCCCCAAAATCACCCAAAAATCCCCAAATATTCCCCCAAAAATCCCCCTAAAATTCCCACCAAAAATCCCTAACATCCACCCAAAAAATCCCCCCAAAATCCCTAAAATCCTCCCCCAATAACACCCAAAATTCCCCGAATATCCTCCCAAAAATCCCCCTAAAATTCCCACCAAAAATCCCTAAAATCCTCCCAAAAATTCCCCCAAAATCCCCCCAAAACCCCCAAAAATCCCCCCAAAAAAGCCCTAAAATCCTGCCCTCAAAAACCTCCAAAATTCCCACCAAAATTCCCAAATATCCCCCAAAATACCTCAGAAAAATCCCAAAAAAACCCAGAAAAATCCCCAAAAAAACCCGGAAAAATCCCCAAAATCCCCCAGAAAAATCCCAAAAAAACCCCAGAAAAATCCCCAAAAAAACCCGGAAAAATCCCCAAAAAAACCCGGAAAAATCCCCAAAAAAACCCAGAAAAATCCCCAAAAAACCCAGAAAAATCCCAAAAAACCCAGAAAAATCTGGAAAAACCCCAAAACCCCCAAAATTCCCCAAAATTTCCCAAAATTCCCATTTTTTCCCCCAGCTGCACAACGCCGCCAACGCCAACCAGAAGGAGAAATACGAGGCCGACCTGAAAAAGGAAATCAAAAAACTGCAGGTGGGGATTGGGGGAAAAAAGGGAAAAAACGGGAAAAATAATGGGAATAATGGGAAAATAATGGGGAAAAAATGGGGAAAATAATGGGAGAAATAATGGGGAAAAATGGGAAAAATAATGGGAATAATGGGAAAAATAATGGGAAAAATAATGGGGAAAAATAATGGGGAAAAATGGGAAAACAAGAGGGAAAAAATGGGGGGAAAAGGGAAAAATGGGGAAAAAAAAAGAGGGAAAAATGGGGGAAAATTGGGGAAAAAAAGAGGGAAAAGATGGGAAAAATGGGGGAGAAAATGGGAAAAGAATGGGGGAAAATAAGGGAAAAGGGAAAAATGGGAAAAGAAGAGGGAAAAATGGGAAAAGAAGAGGGAAAATCGGGAAAAGGGGAAAAAACAGGAAAAAAAGAGGGGGAAAATGGGAAAAAGGGGAAAAAAAGAGGGAAAATGGGGAAAAAGGGAAAAAAAGAGGAAAAAAAGGGAAAGAAGAGAAAATGGGAGGAAAAAATGGGAATAATGGGGAAAAATGGGAAAAAAAAGAGGGATAAAATGGGGAAAAAGGGAAAAATGGGAAAAAAATGGGGGAAAATGGGGAAAACTGAGGAAAAAAGAGGAAAAAATAGGGAAAAAAGAGGGAAAATGGGGAAAAAGGGAAAAATGGGAAAAAAAGGAAAAATGAGAAAAAGGGGAAAATGGGAAAAGGGGAAAAATGGGGGAAAATGGGGAAAAAGGGGGGAAAAGTGGAAAAAAAGGGAAAAAAGGGAATAAACGGGGAAAAAAGGGAATAAAAGGGGAAAAGGGTTAAAAGGGAGAAATAAAAAAGAGGATTTTGGGATATTTTGGGATATTTTAGGATATTTTAGGATATTTTGGGATATTTGGGGCTGTTTTTGGGGATATTTTGGGACGTTTTGGTGCCTTTTGGGCTATTGGAGATATTTTGGGGACATTTTGGGCTGGTTTTGTGCTGTTTTTTGGGTATTTTTGGTCATTTTTGGGGTGTTTTATGACATTTTGGAATATTTGGGAATATTTTGGAATATTTTGGGAATATTTTGGGAATATTTTGGGAATGTTTTGGGCTCGTGCAGCGGCTGCGGGACCAGATCAAGACATGGGTGGCCTCCAACGAGATCAAGGACAAGCGGCAGCTGATCGACAACCGCAAACTCATCGAGACGGTGAGGC